ACATGTGCAGAGTGATTTGATGCTTGGTGTTGATGCTGCTTTGGACACCCAGCCGGGAGGGAAGCGTGGCCTCTGAACATGTGCAGAGTGATTTGATGTTGATGCTGCTTTGCAGATAGAAAAGGCAAGTGGAGACCGGAGCGGGAAGCGTTGCCTCTAAGCATGTGCAGAGTGCTTCGCTGCTTGCTTGCTGCTGAAAAGGCAGCGGAGACCCGGGAGGGAAGTGTTGCCTCTGAGCACGTGCAGAGTGCTTTGCTGCTGTTTAGCAACCATTCTAACTTATGACAGCCTGGAAAAGGAATTTTACAACTAGTCCTCGTAACCATAGCAGTATCCCATGGTCAAGTCACGGCAGTAAAATCAGAAGTCACAGTCCCATGGTGTCTCACTTAACGACCATGGGTTGTTCACTTAAGGACCACATCACTTAGGGACTTCCGATCCAAATTGGGGTATGTTAAGTGAGGACAGTCCCTTGTCTGAGATGGTATAGGTTTCCCTGCTTGAATAGGGGGCTGGACTAGAAGACCTCCAAGGTCCCTTTCAGCTCTATTCTGTTCATTCTGAACTTGTCATTATGGTGTTTCACTCCAGTAAAATGTTGTGATGCTGTTTTCAGCAACTGAAATGTATCATTGAAAAAGTTTCCGACACGGAGAATTAAAACATCAAAGGTAGATATTAAAAAGGGGAGGAATGAAACAGAATGATATATATCCGCATGGAAAAATAATATTGTCAAAAAAGGAGACAGCCCATCCCGGTTGGTTAAAATACAAAAAATTTTCTGAAGTTTCAGTAGAAGGGACAGAAGAAATTTTACATAATAGACTAGAACAAGCTGAAGCAATTTTAAGATTGCTTCTCAACCTTTAAGACTTTAGGATGCATGGACATCAACACCCCTGTTGATCTCTTATGAACAATTAAATCAATTGTCCTAATATGAATTCACTTTTTTTAAAAAAATAAAAACCCTTAAAAGTAGCAGTTGTCAATTTCACCAGAGACATGTTGAGGCGCTAATGTAGTTTTTCTGCATTAAGTTAAAATAATCTTCCAATTGATTTTTCGGGATAATTCTTCCTGCTTACAGCAGGAAGAGAATGCATTTAATCTGTTTTTATGCAGTGTGTTCATTATGTTCATATATTTCGTTTACAAAAACTGAGGACAATGCTAATCATGGATATCCCCCCCCCTCAAAAAAAATACACAACAGAAAAACTATGTAATAATTAAAGTATATTAATATATATATATTTTATCCAGAGCATATAAAACACACATCACTTTTTAAAATTGCAGAAGAGATACAATGCAAACAACTGAGTTTTTTTAAAAAGGTATTGTTAGAAAACGTAAAAGTTTCAGAAAACTGGAGTTTTTAATGTAGAATTTCTTATAGGAGATCCCAACACAATGCAACAATTTTGGATTTAATTTGTCATCAATTGCAGGGTGAACTGGGATTTGGGAGGATGGAATCAAACATTTAAGTAGTTACACATTCCCTACAGGATTGGTATTCACTTATTTTCCCTACCAGGTCACAAATTCGAGCGTGCTCAAAGAGCTGGTGAAATAAGCAGCCCTTGGATGGTATTTCTTCTCCTAGAGACCAAATATCACTGTAGTAAAATATTTTGAAGTTTCCTCTGCATTTACAACATCGGAGTCTCCAAATATGGCAACTTTTAAGACTTGTGGACTTCAACTCCCAGAATTCCTCAGCCAGCTCTGCCACGAATGGAAGCCCACAAGTCTTACGGAGTATGGACATCGGTGGTGGGATGCAACTGGTTTTTAACAACCGGTTCGATGGGCGTGTGTTTTCCCGCGGGCGGGCCTAACGCGCCGTGTTCAAAATGCAGCAATTTGAAGCTCAGCTGCTTAGCTTCTACGGTAGCCCTGGTAAGTAGAACAGAGGCGGGGCGGAAATCTGCTATGCCACGCAAACCAGCTGAGCCAGAAAGGAGGAAATATAGGATAGGATAGCGCAGAGATGGGGTGCAGGTGGAGGCAACCCTATTGTTGCCACTACCGGTTGGCCGAAACCGATCCGAACTGGCTGAATACCACCTTTGATGTACATAATAGAGTTGGAAGCAGAGGTGGGTTCCTACCAGTTCNTGCGTGCTTCAAATGCCAGAGTTTCTGAGCCAACATTTTGGTTGCTATGCAAGAACCTTGTTAAGTGAGTTTCACCACATTTTAGAAGTTGGCCATGCCCACCCAGTCACATGACTGCCAAGCCACTCCCACTCGGTCACATGGCTGGCAAGCCACTCCCACAAAGCAGGCCACACCTACAGAAGAGGTTCTAAAAAAATTTGGAACCCATCACTGTTTGGTACTATCGTTGCTGGTATTTATTGTACCTTCCGGAACCAATTAGAGGTGAGGTACCAAGGTATCATTGTACAAACTAGGTTTGATCATGTTTAGATCAACCAATGTTGGTTAAATGCTAGCATCTAGTTTCACGTTGCTCACAAGCAAATCTAATCTCACGTACATTCAAACACTGACTGGCTGTTTTAGTTGCTGTATAAACACATCCTTCTCCATCAAGGGGTCATTGAATACAAGTGGTCCTCGACTTACGACGGTTCGTTTAGTGACCGATCAAAGTTACACCACTGAAAACTGGCTTGTGACCGCTGCTCACACTTACGACCACTGCAGCATTCCCACGCCATGTTATCAAAATTCAGGCACTTGGCAACTGATTCACATTTATGACAGTCACAGCGTGATTCACTTCACAACTGTGGCAAGAAAGGTTGTAAACTGGGGCAGAATTCACAAAGGCCTCACTTAACAATGTAGGTTTTAGGGTTCAATTGTGGTCGTACGTTGAGGACTGCCTGTATTCAAAATTTAGTACTTCAAACTTTCCAAACACTTCAGGTAGTCCCAAATTGTGATTCACAACAAATTGTGACTCCAAAATTTCCGTTGCTAAGCAAGGGAATTTTTGAGTTTGGCTCCATTTTACAACCGTTTTTGCCACAGTGAATCAGTGCAGTTAGGCAAGAATTACGATAATTACACCCTGCACAGGTACACCAACCTTCCTCCTATCCACACACCCCACCCTCTCCTAATTCGTCAGTCTGCCACTATACAGGTAGTCCTCGACTTACGACCACAATCGACCCCAAATTTCTATTGTTCAGTGAAACATTTGTTCAGCGATTTTTGGCCTGGTTTTCTGAACTTCCTTGCTACAGCTGTTGAGCGCCGTTGGTAAGTTAGTGACCTGGTTGTTAAGTGAATCCAGCTTCCCCGGTGACTTCGCTGGTCAGAAGGTCACAAAAGGGGATCACGGGACACCCCCCCCCCGAGACACTGCGACGGTCGTAAGTATGAACCTGTGGCCAAGCGTCGGAATTTGGATCACACGATCGCGGGGAAGCTGCAAAGGTCGTAACTGTGGGAAACGGTCATGTCACATTTTTCAGTGCCGTTGTAACTTTGAGCAGTCACTAAATGAACTGCTGTAAGTTGAGGACTACAAAGGACGTGACTTTCAGATCTTCAGCAGCAACAGAAACATAAAATCATTGGGTTGGAAGAGACCATGGAGGTCTTCTAGTCCACCCCAAGGGCAAGGAACAGAGTTTGGGGCAAGAATGCTATAGGGCCTGCTGCTTGAGCAGGGGGTTGGACTAGAAGACCTCCAAGGTCTCTTCTAACTCACTTATACTGTTAAAAGTAGCCCTTGAGTTACACCAGCATTGAAAACAGTGACTTTGAAAATTGGTTTCGCTGTAGCATCTCTGTGGCCACATGATCAAAATTCAGAGTCTCATATTTAGGACGGCCACAGTGTCCCGCGAGCCCCTTTTACGACCCAAGTTCGATTCGGAAGTCGGATTCACATAACCACCGTTTAACTCCTCGTTTAATGACGGCAGCGATTCCCTCCACCAACGCGGCACGAGAAGTCGTGAAAAACGGGACGACGCTTGCAGAACGTTTCTCACTTAGCGACAGACATCCTGGGCTCCACTGCGGTCGTAAGATCGAGGACTGTCCGTTCCCTTCAGCAGAGGCAGGGCAGGGGGTGGGGTCCGGCCTTCTTTGGGCAGGGAGACGAGCCGCATCTCCATTCACACACACACAAAAAAAAGGACAGCTCTCGCCAACATTTGCAAATGACTATCTGTAACAATGCTTCCTCTACTGAGCTCCGGGCTGGGATTCCCCCCACTCTCCGGTTTCCTGTTCTACATCAGGCCCGGTTCCTAAGAGTAAGGCAGGCACAGCCACCCACTGCCCCTCCAATGCACCTTCAAATCTGGACAGTCTCCTTGCTTATCGGTTAAGGTGGAATCCGGTTAAGCCTGCAAGGAAGGGGAGGTGGCCCGGCCTGGAGTTAGGGGGACGGTGGGTATGAACCCCTATCCCGGGTTGAGCTCCTACAGAGGGATGAATGAGTCCGTTTTTGCATCCATGGTTTTGCTCAGTGGAAGGGGGAGTGGCACCTTCCTCCTCCTTCAATTTCTCTTTTTCCTCCTTCAATTCCTCCTCTTCCTCCAATTTCTCCTTCAATGCCTCCTCCTCGTTTCTCCTTCTTCCCTCTCTCCTCCTCCAATTTTTCATTCTCCTTCAATTCCTCCTCCTCTTCCCAATTTCTTCCCTTTCTCTTCCAATTCTCCTCCTTCAATGCCTCCTCGTTTCTCCTTCTTCCCTTTTTTTCTCCTCCTTCAATTCCTCCTTCTGTTTCTCCTTCTCTCCTTTCTCTCCTCCTCCTTCAATTCTTCCTCCTCCTCAAGTTTCTTCCCTTTCTCCTCCTCCTCCAATTTCTCCTCCTTCAATGCCTCCTGCAGTTTCTCTTCTTCCCTTTCTTCTCCTCCTCCTCCTCCTCCAATTTTTCCTCCTCCTCCAATTCCTCCTTCTGTTTCTCCTTTCCTTTCTCCTTCTCCTTCAATTCCTCCTCCTCCAATTTCTCCTTGTTCCCCTTCAATTCATCCTCTTCCTCCTCCAATTTTTCCTTCTCCTTCAATTCCTCCTGTTTCTCCTTATTCCCTTTCTCTCCTTCTCTGTCAATTTCTCCTCCTCCTCCAGTTTCTCCTTCCCTTTCTCCACCTCCTCCAATTTCTCCTCCTTCAATGCCTCCTCCTCGTTTCTCCTTCCCTTTCTCCTCCAATTTTTCGTTCTCCTTCAATTCCTCCTGTTTCTCCTTCTCTCCTTTCTCTCCTTCTCCTTCAATTCCTCCTCCTGCAGTTTCTCCTTCCCTTTCTCCACCTCCTCCAATTTCTCCTCCTTCAATGCCTCCTCCAGTTTCTCCTTCCCTTTCTCCTCCTCCAATTTTTCGTTCTCCTTCAATTCCTCCTTTTGCTCCTTCAATTTCTCCTCCTCCTCTTCCTCCAATTTTTCCACCTCCTTCAATTCCTTCTTCAGGTTCTCCTTCCCTTTCTCCGCCTCCTTCAATAATTCCTCCTTCTTCCCCTCAATTCCTCCTCTTCCTCCTTCTCCAATTTCTCCTTCTTTCCCTCAATTCCTCCTCTTCCTCCCTCAATTCCTCCTTCTCCAATTTCTCCTTCTTCCCTTTCTCCTCCTCCAATTCCTCCTCCAATTCCTCCTCCTTCAATGCCTCCACTTCCAGCTTTTCCTTCTTCCCTTTCTCCTCCTCCAGTTTCTCCTTCTTCCCTTTCTCCTCTTTCTCCTCCTCCTCCAATTTCCCCTTCTTCCCTTTCTCTCCTCTTCCAATTTTTCATTCTCCTTCAATTCCTCCTTTTGCTCCTTCAATTTTTCCTCCTCCTCTTCCTCCAATTTTTCCTTCTCCTTCAATTCCTTCTTCAGGTTCTCCTTCTTCCCTTTCTCCTCCTCCAATTCCTCCTCCTCCTCCTCCAATTTCTCCTCCTTCAATGCCTCCACTTCCAGCCTTTCCTTCTTCACTTTCTCCTCCTCCAATTTCCCCTTCTTCCTTTTCTCCTCCTCCTCCTCCTCCTTCAATTTCTCCTTCCCTTTCTCCTCCTCCAATTCTTCCTCCTCCTCCAATTTCTCCTCCTTCAATGCCTCCACTTCCAGCTTTTCCTTCTTCCCTTTCTCCTCCTCCAGTTTCTCTTTCTTCCCTTTCTCCTCTTCCTCCTCCTCCTTCAATTTCCCTTTCTCTCCTCCTCCAATTTTTCGTTCTCCTCCAATTTCTCCTCCTTCAATGCCTCCACTTCCAGCTTTTCCTTCTTCCCTTTCTCCTCCTCCAGTTTTTCTTTCTTCCCTTTCTCCTCTTCCTCCTCCTCCTCCTCCTTCAATTTCTCCTTCCCTTTCTCTCCTCCTCCAATTTTTCGTTCTCCTTCAATTCCTCCTCCTCCTCCTTTCTCTTCCTCCCCTCCTCCATCCCCCCTTGCAAGGAGGGGCGCCCCCCAGCCTCCCTCCCTCGAGGATCCTCCCTCCCGCCCGTCTTACCGGTGAATTCCTCCTCCTCCTCCTCTTCCTCCTCCTGATCTTCCTCGGCGCTGCTCTCGGAGGGGCTCTGCAGCGGCTCGGGCGAGAAGTTGACCCCGCGGGCCTCGGCGGGGGCGCCGTCGAGCTGCGGGCGGCTGGCGGCGTTGCAGCGGGCCNCCCCTGGTATGCCCAAATATGGGAGGAAGTCTACTGCTTCCATATATATATGTATTTACCGCAATGAATGAGATTATAACTTTTTAACTTTCCATTGGGTTACATCCCCGAGGTTGATTTGGTGGGCAGCTTACCTGGAAATTCTGAAAGCGCAGGCTGGTTTTTTTCCCCGATGTCCCCATGACGAAAAGGAAATCGGGTGTCAGGACAAAAGGAACTCTCTCCTTATTAATCCCAAGGAAGCTTTTGTAATTTCCAAGAATATGGCCAAAGTCGATATGGAAGAGATTACCTTGGAAAGAAAAGGAAAAATCAAAATCAATATTACGCCAGGCAATTAAAAACACATCAACTAGGACAGGGAGCGATAACCTTTTCGTCATTGTGTGCCAAAAACAAATGCACTCATAATACAACGCGCACGTGACATCTCCCCGTGTGCCCTGCTGCCCCCCGCGCATGCGTGTGTGACCCCACCTGCTCTCCCCGTCCTGTGCATGCACACATGATCCCCCCCATGCCCGCCCTGTGCATGCACACGCAACCCTCCTGTGTCCCACTTTGGGCCTAGTAGGCCTCACTGTAGCCTCCTGGGAGTAAAAACAGGCCGCAAGGGGGGGGGCACCGCTCCCCCTGTGCCCCTTTGGGCCTAGTAGGTTTCCCTGCATCCTCCTGGGACCAGGAGGGGGGGGGCACATCGCGCCTCCCAATGCTCCACCCTGCATCCATTCATGCACGCACGGCTCCCTGTGTCCCCTGCGCATGCGTGGCAGAGACCTGAAAATTAGCTGGCCAGTGGGAGGCCAGCTGTTTTTCGGGTCTCTGCCACACATGCGCTGTGGAGCTGAATCTACACGTGCCATTTTTTTCCCCAGCACGGAACAAGGATGACTTTTTACCAAGAAAAAAACCTTTATCGGCCCTTCCCTCTGTACGGTTTGCCTTTATAATTGGAGCAACTTTTGTCAAAACCTGATTTCCTCCTATAATCAAACGACTGCATTTCTCGCAATCTTCTCTTCGCCCCTCTTACGGGTAGTCCTCGATTTACCACGAGTGAGCTCCCGCGACTCGTCCCAGCTTCTGCCAACCCAGCAGTTCGAAAGCACGTAAAAAACGCAAGTAGAAAAATAGGGACCACCTTTGGTGGGAAGGGAACAGCGTTCCGTGCGCCTTCGGCGTTGAGTCATGCCGGCCACAGGACCACGGAGACTGTTCCCAGTGTGCACATGTGCAGCGTTGCCAGACGAAGGGAACAGCTAAAGGTCTGACAACTCAGTGCATGGACACACTGGGAACAGGCTCCCTGGTCTTCTGCCTCACTGATGTCCG